AACATTGAGAAGTGTCACATATCTATGGAATTCTACAAGACAGAGGAGCTAATTGCAAATATATTCACCAAGGCTTTGAGCAGGGATCATTTTGAAAGGAACCGCTTGGAGCTTGAATTGATCAAAATGAACTAAGACATTCTTGATTTTCCTTAATGATTTGCTATGTTCTAATAAAGAAAATTAGTGAATTTAAGTGAGAAAATGTCTAAACCGGTCTTATATTGTAACAAGTATGCACACATGGAGCTGTATCAAGAGCTCAAATGTTTAATCTGATGATAAAATCCTCACCCAAAAATAGTTTCTCTAAAACAAATTGAGGAAATCAAGTAAATGACCTGATTGTGTGACACCCAGGTACGTACCTTTTCATTGATAGTTTTGCTTAACTATTGAATGACCACGTCACTAAAAACCAGGCTCTCACTCATTTTGATATACCATAGTTATAATACCTCCTATATCTTGAAATTAAATGGGGATCGGGTTCCAAAGTAAAAAACGCTAGTCCTAAAGTAATCATGACTAGTTTAGTCTGCGTGAAATTAAGGCCAGGTTCCTAAATTTCCTAGAACATGTCTCTGCTGCCAAATTAAATCCCTTAACCGACTCTTCAAAATTTTGAAATCTTATAGTTACTCTCTTTCCCTCTTAAAACCGGATTAGGAGCATTTAACGTGACTTATCAAAGCCAAAAAATTGTCAAATCATACCCCTATGAAAACTCTCTCTCACGTCTACTCTCTCCATTCGATTAAACTGCTAAGAAAACTCTAGTGAAAGAATTGAAACCCTAGCCGTGTCAAACTCACCGAGTCAAGATAACTCTGTCATTCCTGAATCAAACACCACACCTGCCACAAATACGACCCATCTATACCCACTCTCATAGAGTCCGTCCAAGATCAATCTCCCTCACAAAATGCTCCAACAATACCCACTGGCTTAGTTGACTGCATTGAAAAGGAAGGAAATTAAATTACCAATGGTGAAAACTTAGCAGTAGAAGAGTCAAACATTAAGGGGGAAGGAGATGTGGAACAGGTGAAGGGGGATGGACCTATACAAGAAGAAGCCGATGTGGATGTGGAGCCGGTGATTCAGGGGAGTAGGGAAGTTGTAGGAGAAAAAGATAAGGAGAGTGAGACAATGAAAATTGGGACTTATGGTGAAGTAGAAGTAGTGGTTGAGGAGTTAGAAGAGAAGGAAATTGAATGAGACACTGATGATGTAGGAAGGCAGTATGTTAATACCATAGCAAACCCTGGGGAAGAAATGAGGGAGGAGAGTGCTAGGGCTGGATTAGAAGTACCAGAGATATTTGGACAACAACCAGATCTTTAATAGTGAGGAAGACTTGGGTGAATAAGAGGTTGTAGTGGAAGTTGATAAGCAAGATGGTGATCAGGTTCAAGAACCAAGTGCCTTGAACACTAATCCACAAAAATCTGAGTCTTTCGACTGGACTGATACTGAGGAAGATGAGAAAGGGTAGGAGAGGAAGAAGTTAGGAAAGAAAGTAGTGTTGATATTAATGATGAAGCACTGATAAATCTAATTGTCAGGAGAAGGAAAAGAGACAAGTTGAAGAAAAAACCATCTATAGGAGGGTTAAAGCTGTAGCATAAAAGGTTGTATTGCCTCCGGAGTTTGTCACTTGTGGGGGTAGAACACCTATTACTAGAGGAAAAATTAAGGCAACACTTGAGAAGGCCTTGGAAGAGAGTAAGAAGAAGAATAAAAGTAGACAAGAGTTTAGACTAGTAGATGCGTTTGACGTGGAAGAGGTTGATCTGGTGAGTGAGGAAAAGGAAGAAGAAGAAGAAGAGGTGGAGGAGGAAGTCCCTCTTCAAATAAAAGGAAAGAAAAAGGTTGAATCATTTTTATCCACTCTCAACGAAAGGTCCTTCTGAAAAATAAAATCTGCAATTTCTAAGTATGAAGCAAAAGGAGCCAGTTCCAAATGAAGAAAGAAGACTCAAGGAAAATATTTCATTGTAGGCAGAGTGGAATGGTTTGCTGGGATAATCATGTTAAAGGGTCGAGTAATTGACCCTGCCGCTATGGGCATGTTTGGGATGGAGGAGTTATTGGAGAAAATTGAGAATTAAGGGTTGACGCACTTGTTCTTGTGCCCACTCCTAGTAATGTAGGGTGAAGCAATACTTCATTTATACAAGAACTTCAAAGTGTTGGAAGATGGCGCAGTAAGTTCTGAAGTAAGGGAAATGGACCTAATTCGTGATTCCAAGTCGTTGGGTGAAATATTGAGTGTCCCCAGGAAGGGTTTACACTTATGTGAGGCGTGAGTTCCCTGAATTAAGAGAAAATGAAGATGCTATATATTTGACTTTCAAGTAAACACATGAAAAGGAGAAGTTGAAAGCAAGAAAAGTAGGTAAGGGTGAGATGAAACCGGTTCACAAGCTGTTGTTCGAATATGTGAACATGTGTTTGCTACCTTGATCTGAAAGGAGGTATGAGGCTACTTACTTGGACCTATCAGTGATGGAGGTACTGGATCAGAATAGAACAATCAATCTACCCTCACTGATGATCAAGCACATGGCAAGGACAACGGATCAAGAAAAGCGCACTCATGCTCTATCATATGGGTTCTTTTTGACTAGGGTATTTGAGCACTTCAAGGTTCCTCCGAGAGGTCCTAAGAAAGGGACTAAGAAAGACATATTCGTTGAGGAAACCTTAAAGGAATGTAAATGTGTTGCACGACCACCAGGTACCAAAAGTAAAAGCATGGTCACAAACCTTTTGGAGGTGTTGACTACTGCCAATGAGGATATTGAGAAGATAAAAGAGGAAATAGTCTCCTTGAAGGAGGAAAATAGATGAAGAAAGAGTAGGAGAATTCTGCTGCTAGGTTTGACAAGCTTCTAGGGATTGTTCATGGAGCTTCCTCTTCCAGCAAAGAACTTGGTCCTTAGTCCTTTTAGGTTTCTTAGTCTAGCTTTAGTGATACCCCTTTTATGATCAACTTCTGGATGTCTTTGTTGTTTTTGTGTGTTGTTGGTAGTTCGATGGATTTGTTAAATTGTCCTTTGGCTTGGGGCCTTTTGGGCTTAATGCAGTACATTACTTAATCAATAAAATTTTCTTGTTTTGGTTACTACTTGTGCAATCACATCTGGATAATTTATTGGATTATATGTTTGAGTTATGAACCTTGTGATTTATGTAGTATAGCCCAAATGGCCATGAGTTTAACATTATCGAAATTATCTCTTTTGATTCTACTAATACTTTATGTTTTTGATGATTCCAAAAGGGGGAAGTTAAGTATGTGCTTATGCTTATTGACTGCTTATTAGTAAACCTGATTGTTTGTTGAGTTTGTCTGTTTGCTAGTCTAAACAATAAATTATGCGTAGCCATCATTAGAGTTGCGATGAATGGAAGACGAGTCTCTTATACTTGTGCAAACATGGACAAATTAAAGAGGAGTGCAATCAATAAAACTGATTCTTGTGCTGTAGAATGATGAAACATTGGGCATGCTGTTGATCGAGTTGCACATGAGTTTGTTATCATCAAAAAAGAAAAATCTGTTGATCTGAGCATGTAATATGTTTTGATGAGTAACAAACTAGGACCAATAATGGGGAAGGAACAAGTTTCATATTCAAGAGTAATATTCTACGAGACTGGTCTGCAGAAGTAAAATGCAACTGATAGATGAACCAGGTTCATAGCAGATCAAAAGTATGGTGTTGATCAGACGCATGATAGTGGAATACGTGTGCAAGCTAAATTTCTCAGGCAATTGTGTCCGTATTATACAAGGAATGCATTAATTGTGAGGAATAAAAGAAAATGTTGAAAAGTTAAAAACAAATAAGGAAACAAAATCAATGTAGGAGAGATTTTCTTAACCGAAATATTCTAGGTTTAAGAGCTTTAATTGAAGAAGATTTCGTCCAACTTTACAACTATAAAAGAGAGACTTTTTGTCGCAATTCATGACCAACGCTATTGAGAGAAACGACATACAATTACTCCTAGCAATAGCAATCAAGGCAAGAAGATATTCTCGGTGACTCAAGCTGCTCAACAGAAGAATTTATTCTTGAAGACGAAGCTGTTGAAGTTTTTTAGTTGTTAGGTTGAGTCAACTGTTCCAAATTGTAACTTATTTGATTTTGAGAAGTGTAATAGTAGGTTAGTGCTGAAAATTTTATTTTTGCAAGCTTCCTGGGCTAGAGTTAGTTTAAGAAGGGGTAGATAGAATTGAATTGATTGTAGGGGTTAAGGTGCTAGAGTTTGTCCACTTGGTTATAGAGTTGTGACATAAAACTACTCGTTGAAGTTTAGTAGAGTTTTGAAAAAATCCTACTAGTGTAAGTTGTAGTTTTTACTCCCTTGAGCAAGAAAGTTTTCACGTAAAAATTACTGTTTCGTTTAAATTCTGCAATTATTTCTATTTGTGTCTATCTGCTTAGTTCAAAGAAGATAAGACAAAATTCAACCCCTTCTTATGTCGAGTTCAAACTCTAAAATAGCAATTTTGATTCTTTAAGGTTGACATCTTTTTCAAAATATTCATTCGCTTCTCCCCGCAAAGGCAGGGGTTAAATTTTTTTGTCTTCATTGTCAAATCATAGATTGAGCTTTATTTTTGTATGATGGTCCAAATTGACAGTAGTCCCTGGTCATTGAACTTTTGTACAGCACATTAGCTAGCATATGCTGTTGAGATAAAAGCTCGGGGGGCAACATTAATGGGGATCCGTGATGATCTCCATGAGCCAAGTGAGAGAGTAACAGATATTTGGAAAGATGAAACGTGTATTGTATTATGTTGAGAAAGGTTACAAATCTGTACATTTATGTATAGACACACGTGTGTCTCACCTCAAAACTAAACTATTAACCAATCATAACAACTTCTAACTAACTAATGTATTAGCTGCTTCTAACCACTACTAACACAAATACACAAAGTTCAATATATGCACACAAAAAAGAGGTTCGGTTTCTGATAAAAAAATTGCAACATTCAAGACATCCTCAAGCAGCTGTTGCAATAACTTGCATATTATTAAGGATTTGTGATACCATAGGTAGTTTCTGAAGGGGAGCCTTGGCGTAACTGATAAAGTTGCTTCCATTCGATCAAGAGGTCACGGGTTCGAGCCATGGAAACAGCCTCTTGCAGAAATACAGGGTAAGGCTGCGTATAATAGACCCTTGTGGTCCGACTCTTCGTGCATAGCGGGAGCTTAGTGCACCGGGCTGCCCTATAGGTAGTTTCGTGCAAATCAAAGAACATACACGAGAATTAGAAACATAAGTAGGACATGTATTATTAGACTGTGTAACTTTAGAATTCTCTATTACTCTTTATCGCAATATGATCTGGATAAATGCGTGCTGCTTTGCTTCAATTTCTCTGTGAAAGAAGAGCAGGATCCAAAATCACTTGAGTAATTTGAGGGATTGGGATAAACTTTTAAAACAAACAGTCCCTGTATCTTTTATTTGTGATGTTGTGGATTGGGGAAGGGTCTGACTTAGCACTTAAAGAAATAGAAGAAAATGTATCACACGTATAAATTTAATTTGGCGTACGTAAATAATCTACCAAATGGTATTCAAGATCACACTGTTATCCTTAAAAAAATACTGTTGGACCATTTCCATCAAGTATTTGAAAATGTTTGAAGTGCTGTTGTTCAAGCCGGCTAACCTCTTATTCTTGTCTTGTTTCTGCAAATGACAGCTAATCTTTGTCAAAGTCTACATGCGTGCTTGGACGGCCCTTTACAATCTTTTCAAGAAAGACACAAATTACTCACCAAAACTCTAGCACATTTGCATGCATGAAGTCTTCCTTCTCTTCTATATATAGTAACTATCTTATCAATCCTGTCATTTCACAAAACATCCTTCTTCTCTTTTGCTCCTCCTAGCTTCTGTTCTTTAGTGTTAGAAATGGCTAAACAGTTTCTCCTGTCGAATCTGATAGCAGCAGTAACTTTCTGCTGTGTTGTGTTAGCTTTTGAGCCAAGTCCATTGCAAGATTTCTGTGTCGCGGATCCTGCTAGTCCAGGTATTTCAAAGCAGTGAAACAAGACAAGCATGTATTGCATTTTTCTCTAATCTTTTAAAAGGAATGGTTTGATGAAATTCTCTAACTGTACTTTTCCATTGTTTCAGCTAGGGTAAATGGCTTAGCTTGCAAAGATCCCAAATCAGTTAAAGCAGAGGACTTTTTCTTCGGTGGGCTACATTTGGCTGGCAACACAACAAATGCTGTTGGTTCTAAAGTGACTCCTGTTAATGTGGCTCAAATACCAGGACTGAACACTCTTGGTATTTCATTGGTTCGCATCGACTATGCACCATGGGGAATCAACCCTCCTCACACTCACCCTAGAGCTACTGAGATACTCACTGTCCTTGAAGGTACTCTTCAAGTTGGTTTTGTAACCTCGAGTCCTGAAAATCGCCTTATTATTAAGGTCCTTAAAAAAGGCGACGCGTTTGTTTTTCCTATTGGACTTGTTCACTACCAACACAATGTGGGATATGGAAATGCTGTAGCTATTGCTGCTTTGAGTAGTCAGAATCCTGGTGTTATAGGCATTGCTAACGCAGTGTTCGGATCGGATCCGGCTATAGCAACTGATGTTCTTGCCAAGGCTTTTCAAGTAGATGAAAGCGTAGCTGCTCTGATGCAATCAAAATTTTAAGCAGCAAGTTTACTTACAGACTTCATAAGCTTGAGAGTTTTAGTTTTTGTGCGCAATGTTAAATGAGTGGATTCTATTTGTTTGTTTATTGTGTGATTCATGAAAATGTAATCCCAAGAGGTTAAATTTGGATTGATTTATTTTTTTTATAGAGGTTTTTATGTAGTATTCTTTAATATATTCATAAGCTGTTTGGCCAAGCTTCTACAATCCTAGGAGCACTTTTTTGTGAAAAAAAGTATTTTTTTTTTTCAAAGTTGAAGTGTTTGGCCAACAATTTGGAATAAAGAAAAGTGCTTTTGAGGAGAAGCATAAAAAAGTAGCTTCTCTCCAAAAGTACTTTTTCGAAAAGCACTTTTGATAAAAATACACTTAGAATTAATTTTTAAAAGCTTGGCCAAACACTAATTCCTGCTCAGAATTACTTTTCAAATTAATTAGCCAAACACATACTGCTTCTCACCAAAAGTATTTGAGAAAAGAACTTTTGAGAAAAATCACTTCTCAAAATAAGCTGATGTAACGACCGGACTGCTCGTTTTGAGCTCTAGCGCGTCGTTCGGCGGTTTAAGGCCTTGAAAATTCGGAGTTGATTTGCAAAGAAAATTCTAAATTTGGAAGCTTTAAGTTGGAAGAGTTGACCAGGGTTTGACTTTTGAGTAAACGACCCCGGAATCGGGATTTGAAGGTTCCAATAGGTTGGTATGATGATTTCAGACTTGGGCGTATGTTCAGATTGAGTAACAGGTGATCCGAGGGCATTTCGGCGCTTAATATGGAAAGTTGGCATTTTGAAGGTTTTAAAATTTCCTAAGTTTAGTTTGAAGTGCACTTTGGTGTTATCGATGACAGTTTGGGGTTCCGTTCCTTGGAATAGGTTCGCATTGTGATTTATGACTTGCACGTAAAATTTGGCATCATTCCGGAATGTTTACGTGTGATAGGATGCGTTCGGCGAAGGATGAAGGTTGAAAGTTAAGAGAGTTTAAGAAATTGAGTTTAATCTTTAATTCTTGTTTTCAATGTTGTAATTTGTGTTCCGAGCCTTCGGACAAGTTTACATAGGGTATATAAACTTGTTAGAATGATCGAACGGGGTTCCTCGGAGCTCGGGTGAGTTTTTGGGTGGTTCCGGACCACTTTTAGGACTTTTGGAACTGTTGATAACTGGTGTCGAGGGTGTGAAATGCGATGGCGGAGGTTTGGGCTGCGATCACGTAGGGCAAAGTGTTGTTCCAGGCCTTGTGAATCGCGATCGCAGAAGGAAGGCCGCGATCGCGTAGATGAATTTCTGTTGTTAGTGGTCTGACTTCGGAAGCTTATATCTTGCAATCTATAAGGAATTTGGAGATGATCTAAAAACGAAGGTTAAAGCTCTTTGAATCTAGTTTTCAGAAGATCAAACATTTTATCATTTTTGAATTTTGTACACAAAGTTATGGCCATTATACTAAAGGGTGTCTGTGAAGAAGAAAACATAAATTGTACATTGCGATAGCGGGATTTGGTCGCGATCGCTATGAAGGAAATGTTGCTGGAACTTTTGATAACCGCGATGGCGTGCCTTATGACCGCGATTGCAAAGAAGGAGGCCTGGCAGGTGTATTAAGCATCCAATTTCGGGATTTTAAGCTCATTTCTTCACTTTTAAGTTCTTGGAGCACATGTGGGGCGATTTGGGGTGATTCTTAAAGATCATTTTTGCCATATATCATAAGGTAAGTTAATCCTACTTGTTTCGAGTTAAATACATGGGTTATACATGGATTTTAACATGGAGTTTGATAGAAATTGTGGAATTTTTGAAACTAAACCTAAAAATGGTATTCTGGATTTGATCATGAAATTGGGAATAAATTATATAATTGAGTTCGTGGTGCTATGGGTAATATTTATCTTCGAAAACATTTTGGAATCCGGGCATGTGGGCCTGAGGGTTGACTTTGTTGACTTTTCGAGCGGAGTTGAGAATTGTTATAAATTGATTAATTAAGAGTTTTTGGGTGTATTATGATTGGTTTGCATGTTGTTTGACTAGTTTCATATTGATGGGCATCAGTTTGAGGTTTTAGTTGTGAGGGGGAAACTACCCCCTAGGTGATGTAATTATTATGTGCTACTAGTTGTGGGTGCTACGTACGCATGAGGTGATGAAAGTCCGTATGTAGCTACATCATGTTTATGTCCCGGTAGACTTAGGACTTTATCATGTAATATTTGAATTATTTGAACTCATTTTTGCTAGCGTAATTAAGTGAATTTATAATTGAAATTGATTTAGGAATATATATTATTTGTTGGCAAAATATTTGATAAACGGTAAAGGGTATATCCACTTTATACTCATGTACTTGTATTGTAAGCACGTGATTCGTAATTCGATAAGTTCCTACTTTTCTTGTGGAGCGAGCCGAACGCCTCGGCAGTATATTGAGATGCATCTCTGGTTCGTGCCAATCGATGCTCGGTAGTGTACACACCACTCTGGATCGAGCCGTACGACCTCGGCATAACGTGCGTTATATCGCTAGCAGTCCGAATATTCGCGAGATTTTTACTTCTACTGATGCCTGGCATTTTATATGGTATCCTTTATCTGTTTGATACTTGCATTTGATATATTTGAGATGTTGAGATAAAATATGTGATTGAGAAATTGATATCCTTAAAAGAAATTTTTGAAGATTATGTATATTACAGTTTTACCCCATTATTACTGTTGTGCTTCATATCGGTTTATGATTTGCCATACTGCTTTATTGGACCTCTAGTAAGTATCGATGTCGATCCCTCGTCACTACTTCTTCGGGGTTAGGCTAGATACTTACTGGGTACGCGTTGATTTACGTACTCATGCTACACTTCTGCACTAAATGTCCAGGATATGACAGGTTCATTTGGTGGTTATCTTGGTACATAGGCGCAGTTGCTGAGGAGAATTTTGGTGAGCTGCATTCCAGGCTACGTATCGCAACCCACAAAGTCTCCAATATACTATTTACTCTATCATGTCTTATTTACATTTCGTACAGATATTGTATTATTATTGTACTCCTTAGTAAATGCTCATACAGTTGTGACACCGGGTTTTGGGGATACTTTAGTGATTGATATGGTTCGGCTTAGTATTGTCATCTTTTATTTTATATCTTACTAATATTTTGAGTATTCATGATTTAAAATGCATTAAATCTGTTACTTAATAAGGCTTATGATTTTAAAAATAATAAAATAAATAATTAAGTTGATAGTTCACCGTTGGCTTGCCTAACGATGACGTTGGGCGCCATCACGACCTATAGTGGATTTTGGATCGTGACAACTTGGTATTAGAGCTCTAGGCACATTTGGGTCTCACAAGTCATGAACAAGTCTAGTTGAGTCTTTTGGATCGGTACGGAGACGTTTGTACTTATCTTCGAGAGGCTACAGGGCAATTAGGAGCACTTACCTTCTTGATTCCTCGTCGTGCGATTTGATTCCATTGAAGCTTATGCCTTCATTTCCTTCCTACTCAATCTTATGCGACGTGGAGAGCTGGTTATCAATTAGGCATCGAGGAGTTGTAATGGTACTGCAGATGTGTGCTATTGTCGTCACCTTGTGGAAGGATGTTCTGTCATTTCGGCGAAATGTTAGTATTGCCTACGGTTTCTCTGCTACGTACAATATATTATGATGTTCATGAGTGGTTATTGCGCAGTGTTAGTATAAATAGTAGGGTGCTTATTTGTGTGTCGCGACAATGAATGACTAGAAAGGAGGATTATTCGATCCACGGTTTAGAGGTTCGACATTTAATTCCAGTGGAGGAGAGGCAATTGGACTATGGATGTTCTGGCCTAGGTTGATGAAGTATCGAGACTAGATATTTTCGGACGTGGTAGAATTCTCGTTTGTGATGTGGTGTCATCATCCTTGTTGGAACTCATTAAGGTTCCTTGGTGTTATGGTCTTCTTTGATTTGCCTTCGGGGCATGGTGTTGTGAAATGGTGCCTGAGAAGTAGTTGTCAGAGATGGCGGTGTATGTTGGCTTCAGAGTCTAATTGGCGCTCCTAATGTTGATGGCTAAAGGGAGATGATCTTTATGAAGTCTCAAAGTTGGTGGCTGATTACCCGTTCGGGTGCTACAAAGATGGATTATGATTTGAGGCAGTTACTTGGCATCAAGGGAGGAGGAAGGACATGGTTGGAGGTGTTTCGCGGTGGTTGAAGTACTAGCAGGTCAAGTATGAAAATCAGAGGTCGAGAATTTGCTTAAAGGAGATGGTTTAATCGAAGTGGGAGTGGTAGAGTAGCGTATGGATTCTATGGTAGGATAGCCATATTTCTTGAGAAAAGTTTAGAGTGATATGGGAAATCATGGTGGATAGTGACTAATTGTATAAATTTCATTTGGGACAGTGGCTACTATACTGAGGAAGATTAAATAAGGCTGAGAGGAGTCTGCTTGAAAGGAAGAGGGGTCTGAAAGCTTGATTATCGTTTTTTATGCAACATGACTTCGAGTTTGGAATGTATGGTTGGACTTTCAGTTGATGCTAATAAGGGATGAAAAGACTCTTATAGCTGGCGGACGAGCATGGGCTCAGGAAGGTTTTCTGATTTCGTGGTAGTTGTTCCCAGGGCAACGTCGTTGGAAGATGTTAGTATGAAATTCCACAGGTGGGTTATCTCCTGTGAGAAGGTTAGCGGTTGCGCGATTTTGATAAAGTTTCTACAAAGAGTTCTACTTACTACCTAGCAGGAGGTCGAATGAGCGATTGTGACTGACATTTCAGAATGTTCATGAAAAGTTTAACAAGAGATTACGAGGAATTTGGCAGGTTATCGGTGCGAGATCACGGTAATTGAGAAGAAGGAATCATTGTGGGTTCTACATTTATGTAATTGTAGCTTAAAGCTAAGTGGGGGAGCCCACCGTCTACAATTGGATCGCATGGTTGTCTGCTTGTGTGGTTTTTGGTTATCGGTGCATTGGTGGATTATTTATGACTAAGAAAAGAGAACACCAGGGGTAACTCAAGCAAATAACTTGATGAATGTGTGTTTTATTTTGCCTTATCAATTCATGTACAGGTTATAGGAAGACTCAGAGTTTATGCTTCTTGTGGATGTGATATACAAGGAAAAGAATTCAACTGGTTG